TTTTTGCTTTTTTGAGATAGGGTCTCTCGCTGTAGCCCAGGATGACTTGGACTGTCAGTGCTCCTAACCTCACCTCCTGTGTACTGGAATTACAGATGTACATCACCACACCTGGCTTGTAATTTTCTTTCTTTTTTTTACATCATTGTCTATATCTACCACATTTTGTTTGTCCATTTATCTGTAAGAGGCTATCTGGGCTGCTTCCACCTTTTTTTTTTTTTTTTCCCCGGTACTGGTCTTGAACTCCTGGCTACATCTTGAGCCATTCTACCAGATCCCCATCCCCTTTTTTATGTTGGGTATTTTCGAGATAGGGTCTTGGGAGCTATTTGCCCAGGCTGGCTTCAAACTGTGATCCTCCTGATCTCTGCCTCCTGAGCAGCTAGGATTACATTGTGAGCTGCTGGCACCCAGCTGCTTCCACCTTTTGATGATTGTGCATGCTAATTAAGTTTGCATACATTTTTATATACTACTTTATGCTTGCCTTTAGCGTGTGTGTATGTTTGTGTGTGTGTCTGTGTCTTTTCCAAGTTGATAGATAGTCTTCATTACAGTCACTTTTCTCTGATTTAATGGCAACGTGACAATCTTCCAAATCCAGGTACTTAAATGTTTTCCTATTGCTGGACATGTAAGATGTTTCCAGTTTTTCCCTGAATGTGATAATAAAAATTTTGTAGTGATGATTCCTCATACCGCCCCCTAATATTTTAGCTTATATTCTTAGAAGAGATTACTAGGAAGTAAAATGACAGGGCCAAAAGAGATGAACATTTTATTACTTAAAAGTCAAAAATGGCTTTAGATAGCCAAATTGCTTTCTAAAGACAAAGGTATATACTTGTATAGCTACCAATAGTGCATATGAATTTCCTTCTGCCCATACTCACAGTCCTATTTTTTTACACTAAATAATTAACTAGAGGAAGATGAGAACTCTTTCCTTTCTAGTATACAACACTCCAATCATTAACAGTGATTTCTAAGAACACCCCAGGCTGGTCCTGCCTGAGAGCACAAACAGTAAACAAACATAAATAACATATCATCCGCACTCAAGAGATGATAGCTATTCCATTACTGCTGTTTTTCTTATTAATACCAAAGTATGATGATTCTTCAGCTATATCTGCTTTCTCAGGCCCTTGGGTTCCCAAAACATGTTTTTTTAATTATGTGTGGATCACCTCCAGTTTGGTGGGGGTGTCTTGGAGCAAACTGTACTCAAGCCCCTCTCCACTAGACACAGCTGCACTCTGCTGGGGCTTGTCACAAACCCTCAGAACCAAAACTATACTGGGGGCCGACATGGTGGCAAAAGTGTTACCTAGACTCTAACAGGACACTGCCTTATTCCCAAAGCATTATTAGTCCAGCTCCTCCATCTTTTGGTCATAACCCTCTCTTTCCATGGAGACTTGGGTCACAGGGGAGTGTCAGGGGGTGTGTGCCATGTTCCTTGAGATAAGCAGAGCAATAGCATCCCAGAGATACCTACATCCAAATCCTAAAGCCTGTGACTATGTTGGTGGATGTGGTAAAAGGACTTGGCAGATGTATCATGCTAAGAGTCTTGAGATGGGAAGATGATCTTGGGTTAGTTGGGTGGGATCAGTGTAACCACAGGAGTCTTTGTGAGGGAAGGAGAGAGAGAGAGTTAGACATACTGTGTTGCAGGCTTCGAAAGTAGAAGCCAGCAACCAAGATCTGTAGGTGACCTCTAGAAGCTGAAGAAGGAAAGGAAACAGATTGTCCCCCAGAGACTCCAGAAGGAATGCAGTCCTGCTGAGACCTTGATTTTATCCCAGTAACAGCTATTTTGGACTTCTGACCTCTAGAACTGTAAGATAATAAATGCATGTTGTTCTGTGCCTCTAAGTTCCCAGTGCCCACAGGAATAATGCACTCTCTTAATGTCTGGTCTTCTCTTCCCATTTCTCTCTCCTGATTTCCGTTTTAAGCACTTCCCTTCTTTTTTAACCCTAGTTCACAAATCTTCATGAACGTGTTGATAGAGCCAGATAAAAAGCCTCACATATAAATATCTAGCATTGATGGCTGCTACAGACAATTTTGGATGCCTTAGCAAATCCCAACTTATAACAGAGTTTTAAAACTGGGGAAATGGTGACATACAAGGTACTTTTGCCCTCAAATAAATCAGCCAACTTATTTGCATAGTTGTTTTCTTCATAATAGGACATATTTAGGACTATTCTACTAATAATCCTAAAAAAAAATTTTAGCTCTTCATTAAGCAATCATGACTAAATACCTGTATCTTATAGGAGTTAATGAAGAGGGGGGACCCCAGGTTCATAATACAAAACCTCAGCTGCTACTCTCGTTCATTAGTTATCTTTGATCTTTTGTAAAATTGTTTATGTTCTTTGTTCCATCATTGACTCTTTATGTCATGTCAGAATGATAAAGACCCATGGCACCTCTCAATACCCCACAGTGAGTAGCATTCTGTTATGCAACCATCCTTCCAGTCACTCCTGCAAGAACTATTTAATGGAGGTCACCATGTGCCAGGCACTGAGCTAGGTTTGGGATATGGAGATGCAGTGTACAATCTGTACCCCTCCACAAGCTATCAATGTTGAATGTTTATGGCTTGTGAACAGCAAGCACATACTTTTTTCCCCTGTAAATGTTTTTTTTGTTGTTGTTTTTATTCAGGAAGCATTTGGGTTACAAGGAGCCTCTTTGATCAAGTAGCAAAGGCCAGGAAATGCACCCTGGTTCCATCTGTGTTCCAATTTATATTCAGACCCATGGAAGAGTTAAAAGAGTTGGATGATAGCTAACCACAAATGAAAACCAGCCCAGCCCAGAGTCTCTTTGCTTAGAAAGATCCCTCCTCCCTCTATCCTCTCTAGCCCTGCCTACCTGCCTTTGACGCAGGGAGCTGAGGGTCTGAATGAAACTGCTGGAGGTTCCAATTAGATCTTTGTGGACAAAGGGCGTACACACACAGCATCCTCAGATAACAGGTGACCATAAATCCATCAGCGCATCCACTTTCAGAGAACAGAGTCCCTGCTCTTGCTAACAGCTGCCAATACCTCCCTGAGCATCTCACACCAAGATGGGCTGTAAGGTAAGATTTTCTTTTTTCTTTCTCTCTGGACATATTTAATACTTCCTTGTAATTTGTGTCTTTTATTAGAGGATTTTTTTTACTATAAAGTTTACTACTAATTTTTTGGCAAATTCCTGGTTTTATTTGGTTGGAGGGGTGCTTTTGTTTTTGTACTTGTTGCTTTGTCTTTTTTTTTTTTTTTTGTAGAATACTTGCTTTAGCCTATTTAACATTTTTTAGTTTTTATTGTTTTTTTAGCCTTTTCTTACCTTTATCCTCATGTATCTTAAGTAAGTTGGTATTTGGAAATTATTTATAAAGAGAAATGATGGGTCTTAAATAATTGCATGTAGTTTCTGGTTAAAACTTATCTGGGAATTTGTTTCACTTGGAACTTGACCACTTGAGCTGCAATATGGAGAATGTTCTTCCAGCCAAGGCTTAGAATATGGTAGCTCAGAGCTTCCAACATTTGAGGCTGACATTGAACCCCAGCAATAATCATTTACAGCTATTTACTGCTTGTATTATGAAACTAGTTTCTTACAGAATATTTGGAAAAGATAGAAAACAAAAAATAAGTTACTTTAGATGATTCATTTTAGCCAGTGTTTTGGTGTGTATGTCTTTCTAGTCTTTTTAAAATGTACACATATATTTATTTTTTACATTAGCAAGGTCAAGCCATAATGCAGTTTAATATCCCTTTTCTTCTTAATATCAGATTGAGAGGATTTTCTAAGTCATTAAATGATTAGAAAACAGTTAAAATGTTCCATTTTTCATGAATAAAAAGAATTCAGCAATTAATAATTTTGATCATAAGTCTCTGGCTGCCGCTCTGATCATTCCTTTAGGATAGGTTCCTTTAGGTAGTGTTACTAGATCCAAGGGTGTACAATTTTTAGGATCTGCTACATTTCATGACAGTAGTCTACTTTCAAAATTCAAATGATTGGTATTGTTGCTACCATAACAAAATGTGCATGAAAGAAAATGAAATCTTCCCAGAGACTGTGATTATGTGAAGTCTGACAAGGTATTGTCACTGAATGCTGTGAATGATATGAGATATAAAATAGAACACTAATAGTTTAAGTATCGTATTCATGCAGAGTAACATGCCTTTTTGAGCAGGGGTCCATAGTTTAAACAAAAGTAAGGGAGACAAGAGAGCTTTTTGTACTCCCAAGCAAGGGAAAATGGTGGAGCATTTAAGCTAGAAAACTTGATAATATCAAGAGACAAAGGCAGGCAGATCACAACTCAGAGGCCAGCCTGGGCCAGCCTAGTCTCTGATTGTTTTACTGTGAGATGACAGTTTGGGTTCAGGCCAGTGTTTGTCAGTGGGCAACACGAGTAACACTTGTGCCTCACAAAAGAGTTTTGGGTGGTACATAGGACCTAGACCATTTTTGGGGGGTGGTATGTAGACATAAAACATAATTTTTTGCATGCTATAGAAATTTCTTCTTAAACAGTATTTCAATATTTCAAAAGTGCAGAATTAGAGGAAAAGAGGAAGTAATTGGTAGTCCAGGTACTGCCCAAAAGTTTGAAGTTAAGAGGCAAACTGTGACTTTGGAGAAACATGGGGCTAGGTGAGCTGTGGAGTGTTTAATGTGGTAGGTAGAGTTCCAGACATAAATCCTAGGAAACAATGCTTACCTTGAAGGCATTCTGGGAACTGCAGAGTTATTTAGATGCATAAGAAGTGAACAGGGATTCAGGCATGGACACCAATCTACTACTTGCTACTTTGCAACTTTGCATTTTAACAGTGATTCTCACTCACCTGGGCAGACTTCCCTCCTCTTCTGAAAAGGCAAGGAAGACCTATAGCTGTAACAGGACCCTCCCTAAGCACCTAGAGAGAAGATCCAACCCCTCACCCCAGGCCCTCACCATGCTTAGGGCTGTTCTGGACGCTCCTCAGCAGGTGCTGAAGAAAGGGAGAGAGTCTCGGCAGCTGGTGCTGGTGGTGGTGTTTGTCGCTCTGCTCCTGGACAACATGCTGCTCACTGTGGTGGGTACGTCTTGGGGTCTTTGTGCTGAGGGTTTGTCTGCTTTGGACCCCAGCAGGCAGCACACACCCTATTCTACTTTATCAATGGGCAGACTTGAGAAATTGTTCTTATGGAAAACACGTGGATGGTGCTGGAAGTTGAAGGAAATGGCAGACAGTGGGGTCTGAAGTCTGCCAGCTATTGCTAATGACTTTAGAGGCTCAGAAAGAAGGAGAGTCAAAGGGTAGCTGGCCAGAAAAGGGGAAGCCCTGGAGTCAGCATGGCCTCATTTTCTTCACCCTCAATCTAACCTCCTCTTCTCCTCCACGCTAATGAATCCAGTGGTCTCTGGGGCAGTAAGCGTCCTCTCTCTGTGATTCCTTTCCAGCCTCTGCCCTGCAAAAACAGCACACTGTCTTCCAATATCCTGATCCTGATCAAACCCTACCTTTCTTGCAGTCCATTCCCTCAGAGTTTTCTGGTTGATACTCTCTCAATCTTTTTACTATGTTATGCCAGTGTATAAATGGATATCAACAAGTTTCTTCTCCTGGGTAAAATACATAGTATTAGATAAGTGTCTCCCTGAGACAAGGACCTAATCAAATACAGTCAATTCTCATTATTTGTGGCTCTGTAGTTACAGCTATGTTCTATCAAGTTGTCATGAATTAGTAAATACTCTATATTGTAAACAGACACACACACATACACACACTGTCCTACCATGTAGATTATAACCTTAAATTCTGAGTATGAACTGACATGCCCAGGCTGATGGCAACAGGTGTCAGATTGGTATTCAAGCCTCATGAAATGGTCCCAGACTTGAAGCTTCTCAAACCGCACTGCCCTTGCCTCCTAGTATCTTCAGTCCTCTGGTTCTCTTGGTGTGAGAGCTGAGACAGGAGGAAAAGCCTACCTTGCTCTACTTCACCTGGAAGATGCACATCGGGTCCATTCTGCACCTGTCTACAAATGTTTTTTGGGGGGTTATAAATAAATCTTAGAGTAAGCAAATTAGCCAATACAGAATCCATAAATCCAAGAGGACCAACTGGAAGATGGTCGTAATTTTTGTCCTTTAGCTAGTAGGATAATTTAGATAGGCATGGTCTTTAGTAGATTTTAAATGATGTCACTTAGACATCTTCCTTCAGCATAAAATCAAACCTCATAGTAAAACCCCTAGTAGTGACCAAAACAATCTGTCCTTATTCCTCATCACCTGTCTTCATTGATTTCCAGTACCCATTGTGCCCACCTTCCTGCTTGCCGCAGAGTTGAAAGAAGCCAACTCTTCCCTACACACCCGCCGTCCTCTAAGCTCCCGGCAGGCTCTTGCCTCTCCTACGTTCTCCACCAGCTTCTCCTACTTTGACAACACCACCATGGCTGTGGAAGAAAGTGCACCCAGAAGCACAGCATGGACAAATGGCTCTTCCAGGGCCACCTCCCCTCCAGTCATGGAATCCAGCTCAGTAAATAAAGCCAATTGCTTAAAAGGCATAGAGTTATTGGAGGAAGAGAACATCCGGGTCGGCGTTCTGTTTGCTTCGAAGGCTTTGATGCAACTTCTGGTCAACCCATTCGTGGGACCTCTTACCAACAGGTAGCTCAGTGGGTGCAGTGCTGTCACAAGGTGCTCACAGGCTGAGGAATAACATTAGGGGCTGAGGTTTTATGCGGGTGGTTGAAAGGGAAAAGAAGGAGCACTCTGATACCCAGGGAAGTCAACAGTTTGGAAAGCTGTTTATCCCAAAGGATAACACATTATTGGTGAAATGTCATGGGCTTACTGTACTTATAAGTACTGAAGATGACTTCAATGCATGTGGCTGGGAATGGGACAGTCCTAATATAGTCTGAAGCACTGGCTTCCTAGTAGTTGTGTCTGGAATGATTGTGATGTTTTAAGGAGAAAATAGACTCTATAAAGACTACCCGTTCTGGAAAAAAGGATTTTGACTGTACTCTAGGGATAAATTTGCACTTTTGTTTATTTGCTTGTATCATTCATGTGTTATATTCCGTCTCCATGCTTGCATTTGAGAGGCATGTTGTGCCTATACTCAAATTAACTCATTTCCCTTCCTGACGTTAACAAGTGTAGTCCAAAGGCATGAATGCCTATTGGAGCTGTATCTTTCTTTGTTTCTCTTTTAGGATTGGATATCATATTCCCATGTTTGCTGGCTTTGTTATCTTGTTTCTCTCCACAGTTAGTAAGTCATTTGCTTCCTTTTTTTTCCCCTTCACTGGGTGGCTTTGATTTTTATCATGTGAACGCAGTGTAGAGAGCTGGGTCAGGTTAGACCAGAGAGTAATTAGGCTTCTGCTTAAGTGAGCATTGATTTGAATGCCTGACAATTTCTGGACTGGGGATTAGAATAGTAGTGGCAATTTAATCTGTTCTGTGATAGTACAACAGAAACTTCATTTACTTCAGTGGATATCATGAAAACTGTTTGAATGTGTATGTTACAGTGCGTGTGTGTGTATATGTATCTGTCACAATCCCTTCAGCAAGCTTAATACAAACCTCCTTTCTTTGGGAAGAGATCATATTATTTTGTTATGTCATGGTAAAGTTCAACTAAAACAATTGAAGTTAGACAATAGTAATGGGAAAAAATTTTAAAAATGTACTGCTTTCTAGCTAATGACATTAAATGTTACAGCTTAGGAAAGTAAATTTGCTAAAGAAAATAGAAAGAAAGGGACAAATAGTCTATGAACTGAATGTTCCTAATGAAATAAAGATGGAATAAAAAGAATGAGAAAAATAAGTCTGCTGATTGATCCTGGGATGCAAAATGTGAAGAAATGAGTGGAGGAGTTCCGTGGAGGTCACGGCAGGGAAAGCAGTCTGTGGACCACCAGCAGCTCCTGCTGCCTCTAATGATGCTCTCTATCTCATAAGATAACTTCTTCTCCCTCTTGTTTTTCTTATTATTTTTATGTTACTTCTCTTTTTTTTCTACTCCTTTTCCTTAACTTTTCTTTCTTCCCAGAATAGGACCGACTCCTAGCAACACAATGTTTGACAAGAATTTGTTGTGTTCAGGGCTCGACAGCTGCAAAGTGCAAGAGCTTGAGATGTGAGGTTTTGTCTGAGAACTGCAATTTACTTGTACAATTATAACTGAATCAAAGAAAGTGAGGCTATTCAAGCTGTCAGTGTTCATTGAACTTCTGAAAGCTTGGCCTGTGCTAGACAGCAAATTAAAAAAACCAATAAGGGCATCCAGTGAGACTTTAAAGTTCATTTCACAAAACTTTATGGAGCACATGTACTGTGACACTTAAGGAACACACAAAGACACGGCTGCAGATATCCAGAAGGGTATGGTGGTTGCCTGGGGACATGTGACAAACCCTCTGCAAAATAGGATAATTCAGTGTATTAGTGGGGCCCACGCTGTTTAGTATAAGGTGCTTGCCTGATTCTCTGTCAAGAACTCATATTTTATTTTATTTTTTTTTCTTTTTCTTTTATTATTCATATGTGCATACAAGGCTTGGGTCATTTTTCCCCCATGCCCCACCCCCTCCCTTACCACCCACTCCGCCCCCTCCCTCTTCCCCCCACTTCCTCAATACCCAGCAGAAACTATTTTGCCCTTATCTCTAATTTTGTTGTAGAGAGAGTATAAGCAATAATAGGAAGGAACGAGGGTTTTTGCTGGTTGAGATAAGGATAGCTATACAGGGAGTTGATTCACATTGATTTCCTGTGCGTGGGTGTTACCTTCTAGGTTAATTCTTTTTGATCTCACCTTTTCTCTAGCACCTGTTCCCCTTTTCCTATTGGCCTCAGTTGCTTTTAAGGTATCTGCTTTAGTTTCTCTGCGTTAAGGGCAACAAATGCTAGCTAGTTTTTTCGGTGTCTTACCTATCCTCACCCCTCCCTTGTGTGCTCTCTCTTTATCATGTGATCAAAGTCCAATCCCATTGTTGTGTTTGCCCTTGATCTAATGTCCGCATATGAGGGAGAACATACGATTTTTGGTCTTTTGGGCCAGGCTGACCTCACTCCGAATGATGAAGAACTCATATTTTAAAAGCTTTTCTTAGCTACAAAACTCTGGGCGTTAAATAAGTGTCTCCACGAGGCCACCAGTGTTGCTGTACTAAGCTGGCCTGAATCTGGCCAAAAGAAAATACATTTGGTGGCAAAGGTATCTATTGCATTATGTTTAGGGTTTGATAAAAAATACTAAAAAGAGATTGATGGCTATTACTGCCCTCAAAGCCCCAACCCCCCCGCCCCTTTCTGGGAGCCATGCTTAATGTATTATATTGAGATTTTTCTTCTTGGTAGTTCTGGGGTTTGAACTCAGGGCCTCACACTTGCCAGGCAGGTGCTCTACCACTTGAGTCACTCCACCAACAGATGCTTAATGTGAATAGAAGCTAAATAGTGGCCCAAGTTAGCAGAGTAAAATGAAAAGGACAGTCCTTTGCTCTTTCTAAATTGGTAGACTATCCTGATTTGCCTGGGATTGAGGGGTTTTCCAAAATGTGAGACTTTCAGTTTTAAAACTAGGAAAGTCCTAGGTGAACCAACACCAGTTTGTCACTCTGTTCTCCAATAACAGACAGGTAGTGGACTTTGGATAGTTGGAAATCAGAAATCCCAAGAAAGGGCCTTGTAGGCTAGGAAGGGCTGAAAAATGTGCATTTTTGGGAGACCATGAGTGGCTCAGTGACCATGTCGGGAAGTAACTGAAGAAGGTTATAAATAAAGCCAAAGACGCCAGTAATGAATGGGTAGAAGGATCAAAATTCTTCTGATTCAGACACTTGGGAGGGATTCTTCTCTCTTTGGGAGACATTGTTGTGGAAGCAAAGATGAGGCATGTCTGGAAATACCTACCTGCCTGCTCACACCCTGTAATTTGACTTTTGACATCATGGTCCTGTTTGGTTCTCAGTTTCATGTATGTTAGACACATGAAACTTCTTTAAGGGCATGAATTAGGTGTTCTATTTTTCACATCTGCTGCAGTCTAGCAGAGTGGTACATTCAGTATTAATTTAATAAATACGGATTTGATTTGGTTAAAAGATTTCTGACATAAGAGGAAGGATTTGATAGGATCACAGATATTTTCTTGTTTTTTTGGCTTTGTTGTTGTTGTACAGTATTGGGCTTTGAACTCAAGGCCTCAAGATTGCTAGGCAACTGCTGTACCACTAAAGCCATTTCCCCATTCCTGAATTACAGACATTTTCTATCCAATGCCTATGGTACCTGAGGTACACTCAACTCATTGTCACAGTACTCCAGATGACCCAGTGTGGCCCAGCAGTGGCAAAGATCCAATTTGGTATAATGGGGATCCAGCAGTAGGTCTATGCACCAGTTCCCAGTCCAAGGCATTGGGTTTAAGATATAGCCCCAGTTCTAGTGGATAAGAGGTCAGGTGCTCAGCAAGAAATGTGGAGACCCAGTCTTCCATCCACTGTGTGGTGACTTGATTTATGTGCTGTGGCTTCTTAGTCTTCTTGCCAATTAAAAGTCAGTCACGATTGAAGACTGGGAAGATTAGGAAGATACCTTCAAGAAGAGAAAGCAAATATCGTCATGCTTTCTTAAAACATATGCACAATGACTCATCTCTGCCATATCATGGGCAGATCATCTGCTGGCCAGGAATCTAAGACAATTTGCTAATTGAAGCATTCTTGCTGTTCTCTTTGCCCAGTGTTTGCTTTTTCTGGCACCTATGCCCTGCTGTTTGTAGCCCGAACCTTCAAGGCATTGGATCTTCATTTTCATCTGTTGCAGGTAACACTGACATCTTCAACACACACACACACACACACACACACACACACACACACATGCATGCACACGCACACACACACACCCCTTTAACCACCGTTTACTACCTCAGACACGATGAGATTTATATGAGGAAATTAAAGAAAATATCATCCTGGTAGGTTGAAATTGTGTTCAGGAACAAGGTAATTGTAGAATTGCTGGCAGGGCCTATGATCCTTAAGCCTGACCTACCTTTCCATAATAAAATTCAGTGTAGCTAGCTCAGGTCAGCATAAGCCTATGGTAAAACCATGAAGTAGACCAGGGTTTTTTTTTTTAAGTGCCACATCATGGTACTTTCTTTGTCCCCCTGTTATTTTATAGGAACAGTATTCCATGGGATCTTGTGAGGTTGATATTTCATGCCATCTTATATGACTGAGTGGCCTGAGGGCATAGTCACCATAAATTGCCAGCTCCTGCCCTCTCCCAGGTGCTCAGTGTTTTCATGCTTCTCCTCAGGCACTGTGTTAAATAGAATATTCTCTATTCATAGGTGTTCTTTCCCTGGCCCACTCCATAGGCCCCCTCTGCATAGTTAGACAACAGTGCTCTGTGTTACCCTTCCCAGAAGCCTTTGCATTTACAACAATATTAAGGCACAGGAATGAGTAGTGTAGGGATTTACAAGACTAGTAGGAGACAGCGTTTGCTATATATTGTGAGCTAAGTTTTATATAGATAGCTTCTCAAATCGAAAGTTTAGCTAAGACCATCACTCATGAGATAATAGGGAAGGTACCAAGAACTCTGAGAGGTGCACAGAAACTTTGTATGCCAACTATATCATCATTCTCTGTTCAGGTCTTGGGATGCTGGCCAGTGTCTACACTGATGACTATGATAGAGGAAGAGCCATGGGGATTGCCCTGGGGGGCCTGGCTTTGGGAGTGCTAGGTAAGTGGCTCCTAGATGGAGATGTAGGTTCAGGAGGGTTAGGGTCCTGCAAACCCTTCAAAGATGGCTCCAGGAGGCAGGTGTCCCCAAGGCCATGGAAGACAAGAAAGTATTTTCCTTCCCTGTTCCAGTCATGTGTTGACTTCTTCAGAAATATCACCCAGGAAGCTGACATTTCTTTCTCCTTAGGAAGCCAAGCAGCCCGTGAGGGACTGGGAAAAGGTCCAAAGCCAGTTGATCCCAAGGGACGCTAAATTCCCCCCACATTCATGTGTAACTGCCCTCTCATTCTTGCTTCCACACATGACCAAATGTCGCTTTCCGAGACATGGGGAGCGCAAGTTGCCCTGTTTGCCAGATTTTCTCGCTGATTTCTATCGATCTATAATCTTTATTCCTTGCTGCCACCCTGTGAAGGACAAATGACTGTCCCCAGGATAGTGATGAGGATCAGAAAGGTTTAAGGAGCCCTCTAAAAAC